TTTTTCTCTCACTTTTACACCCTGTAACCCCTTAGTGGCATTCCCACCTTACTTGGGGTGAAATGATTAAAAAAGAAAATGATTAAAAAAAAAAGTGAACTTCTGTTGCCTCACAATCCCATATTATTATTCTTTTAATTTATGCACTAAAATTAAATTAATTTGTAAATCAGGTCAGTATCCTTTATCTGAAATTCCCACTATATGCAGATTTTTCTCTCACTTTTACACCCTGTAACCCCTTAGTGGCATTCCCACCTTACTTGGGGTGAAATGATTAAAAAAAAAAATGATTAAAAAAAAAAAGTGAACTTCTGTTTGCCTCACAATCCCATATTATTATTCTTTTAATTTATGCACTAAAATTAAATTAATTTGTAAATCAGGTCGAGTATCCTTTATCTGAAATTCCCACTATATGCAGATTTTCTCTCATTTTTACACCCTGTAACCCCTTAGTGGCATTCCCACCTTACTGGGGGGTGAAAATGATTAAAAAAAGAAAATGATTAAAAAAAAAAGTGAACTTCTGATTTTTGCCTCTGTAACAATCCCTTGGGGTGAAATATTATTATTCATATTATTATTTTTAATTTATGCACTAAAATTAAATTAATTTGTAAATCAGGTCGAGTATCCTTTATCTGAAATTCCCACTATATGCAGATTTTCTCTCACCTTTTTACACCCTGTAACCCCTTAGTGGCATTCCCACCTTACTTGGGGTGAAATGATTAAAAAAAAAAAATGATTAAAAAAAAAAAGTGAACTTCTGTTGCCTCACAATCCCATATTATTATTCTTTTAATTTATGCACTAAAATTAAATTAATTTGTAAATCAGGTCGAGTATCCTTTATCTGAAATTCCCACTATATGCAGATTTTTCTCTCTTTTTTTACACCCTGTAACCCCTTAGTGGCATTCCCACCTTACTTGGGGTGAAATGATTAAAAAAAAAAAGAAAATGATTAAAAAAAAAAAAGTGAACTTCTGTTGCCTCACAATCCCATATTATTATTCTTTTAATTTATGCACTAAAATTAAATTAATTTGTAAATCAGGTCGAGTATCCTTTATCTGAAATTCCCACTATATGCAGATTTTTCTCTCTCATTTTTACACCCTGTAACCCCTTAGTGGCATTCTCACCTTACTTGGGTGAAATGATTAAAAAAAGAAAATGATTAAAAAAAAAAGTGAACTTCTGTTGCCTCACAATCCCATATTATTATTCTTTTAATTTATGCACTAAAATTAAATTAATTTGTAAATCAGGTCGAGTATCCTTTTTATCTGATTTTTTCTCAAATTCTTAGTGGCCACTGAAATATGAAAAGATTTTCTCTCACAATCCCATATTATTATTCTTTTAATTTATGCCTAAAATTAAATTAATTTGTAAACCCCTTAGTGGCATTCTCATTTTTACACCCACCCCTTACTTGGGGTGAAATGATAAAAAAAAAAAATGATTAAAAAAAAAAAGTGAACTTCTGTTGCCTCACAATCCCATATTATTATTCTTTTAATTTATGCACTAAAATTAAATTAATTTGTAAATCAGGTCGAGTATCCTTTATCTGAAATTCCCACTATATGCAGATTTTTCTCTCACTTTTACACCCTGTAACCCCTTAGTGGCATTCCCACCTTACTTGGGGTGAAATGATTAAAAAAAAAAAATGATTATTATTCTTTAAAAAAAAATTGAACTTCTGTATCCTTTGCCTCACAATCAGATTTTATTATTATTCTTTTAATTTATGCACTAAAATTAAATTAATTTAAAAAAAAAAATCAGGTCAGTATCCTTTATCTGAAATTAAATTAAACTATATGCAGGAGATTTTCTCTCATTTTTTACACCCTGTAACCCCTTAGTGGCATTCCCACCTTACTTGGGGTGAAATGATTAAAAAAAGAAAATGATTAAAAAAAAAAAAGTGAACTTCTGTTGCCTCACAATCCCATATTATTATTCTTTTAATTTATGCACTAAAATTAAATTAATTTGTAAATCAGGTCGAGTATCCTTTATCTGAAATTCCCACTATATGCAGATTTTTCTCTCATTTTTACACCCTGTAACCCCTTAGTGGCATTCCTGCCTTACTTGGGGTGAAATGATTAAAAAAAAAATGATTAAAAAAAAGTGAACTTCTGTTGCCTCACAATCCCATATTATTATTCTTTTAATTTATGCACTAAAATTAAATTAATTTGTAAATCAGGTCGAGTATCCTTTATCTGAAATTCCCACTATATGCAGATTTTTCTCTCATTTTTTACACCCTGTAACCCCTTAGTGGCATTCCCACCTTACTTGGGGGATTGAAATGATAAAAAAAAAAAATGATTAAAAAAAAAAATGAAATTTGTTGCCTCTGAAATCCCCTATATTATTATTTTTTAATTTATGCACTTAAAATTAAATTAATTTGATTAAAAAAAAAAAAAAGTGAAAATCAGGTCGAGTATCCTTTATCTGAAATTCCCACTATATGCAGATTTTTCTCTCATTTTACACCCTGTAACCCCTTAGTGGCATTCCCACCTTACTTGGGGTGAAATGATTAAAAAAAAAAAAATGATTAAAAAAAAAAAAGTGAACTTCTGTTGCCTCACAATCCCATATTATTATTCTTTTAATTTATGCACTAAAATTAAATTAATTTGTAAATCAAAGTATCCTTTATCTGAAATTCCCACTATATGCAGATTTTTCTCTCACTTTTACACCCTGTAACCCCTTAGTGGCATTCCCACCTTACTTGGGGTGAAATGATTAAAAAAAAGAAAATGATTAAAAAAAAAAAGTGAACTTCTGTTGCCTCACAATCCCATATTATTATTCTTTTAATTTATGCACTAAAATTAAATTAATTTGTAAATCAGGTCGAGTATCCTTTATCTGAAATTCCCACTATATGCAGATTTTTCTCTCATTTTTACCCTGTAACCCCTTAGTGGCATTCCCACCTTACTTGGGGTGAAATGATTAAAAAAAGAAAATGATTAAAAAAAAAAAAGTGAACTTCTGTTGCCTCACAATCCCATATTATTATTCTTTTAATTTATGCACTAAAAATTAAATTAATTTGTAAATCAGGTCGAGTATCCTTTATCTGAAATTCCCACTATATGCAGATTTTCTCTCACTTTTACACCCTGTAACCCCTTAGTGGCATTCCCACCTTACTTGGGGTGAAATGATTAAAAAAAGAAAATGATTAAAAAAAAAAAAGTGAACTTCTGTTGCCTCACAATCCCATATTATTATTCTTTTAATTTATGCACTAAAATTAAATTAATTTGTAAATCAGGTCAGTATCCTTTATCTGAAATTCCCACTATATGCAGATTTTTCTCTCACTTTTACACCCTGTAACCCCTTAGTGGCATTCCCACCTTACTTGGGGTGAAATGATTAAAAAAAAAAAAAAATGATTAAAAAAAAAAGTGAACTTCTGTTGCCTCACAATCCCATATTATTATTCTTTTAATTTATGCACTAAAATTAAATTAATTTTGTAAATCAGGTCAGTATCCTTTATCTGAAATTCCCACTATATGCAGATTTTCTCTCATTTTTACACCCCTGTAACCCCTTAGTGGCATTCTCACCTTACTTGGGGTGAAATGATTAAAAAAAAAGAAAATGATAAAAAAAAAAAAAGTGAACTTCTGTTGCCTCACAATCCCATATTATTATTCTTTTAATTTATGCACTAAAAATTAAATTAATTTGTAAATCAGGTCGAGTATCCTTTATCTGAAATTCCCACTATATGCAGATTTTTCTCTCACTTTTACACCCTGTAACCCCTTAGTGGCATTCTCACCTTACTTGGGGTGAAATGATTAAAAAAAAAGAAAATGATTAAAAAAAAAAAGTGAACTTCTGTTGCCTCACAATCCCATATTATTATTCTTTTAATTTATGCACTAAAATTAAATTAATTTGTAAATCAGGTCGAGTATCCTTTATCTGAAATTCCCAAATCCAAAAACCTCAAGTTTTTCAGGTGCTGACATGACTTGACACAAATGGAAAATTTCAGAAAGCAATTGAAAGCTTTCTAGGTGATGTGTAGCTGTTGTATGTGACCTCATCTGCTCTGGATGGGTGTTCCCCAACACAGCTATGTAGTCTAGATTGACACAAGGTTTTTGTTAGTGATTGTCACAGCAACATCTTTGTTCATGGATCACTTACTTACTTCATGCTCAGTAAAGGTTTTTAAAAATGTCAAAAAAAAATCCTACAGATACTAATATGGGTAATGAAAAAAAAAAAAAGAAGCATTTATGTTTATCAATATCACAAAGTCAAACTGTTGGAAAAACTAGACAGAGGTGTAAGTGTGAAGCATCTGACAGAGGAGTTTGGCATTGGAACAACCACCATATATGACCTAAGGAAACAGAAGGAAAAATTTTTTAAAGTTTATGCTTAAAGTGATGAACAGAAACTAATGAAAAATAGAAAAACACTGCACAGAGCAAAAAATGATGATCTCAATTGTGTATTGATGGAGTGGATTCGTCAGCATCAGAGTGAACATATGTCACTTATATAAAACTACCTTCAGGGTTTATGTATAAGATGTTTTATGAAATGTAAATGGATATTATGTTTATGCTTGGGTTCCATTCCCAAGCTGCCATATTTTATAGATGCTATATACAAATTAAATAGCTTATATTCCAAAATAAAAAAAAAATGAAGATCAAAGCACTTCCAGTCCAAAGAATTTTGGATAAAGGATTCTCAATCTGTATTTGTTTTATAACATTATTTATATTCCTTATCAATAAAATATTCTTTTCTAGCTTTGCTCGGCATGTTGCTAGACTCCAAATGACAGTTCATAATATTTACAGTTGCTTAAAACAAATTTGTCAGTTTTTCAACAATTTAATTTTTAACCTGAAAAAAAAGAAAAAAATTGTTACTTTTATTTCAGTTAATTTGTAACTCTGAAATTTTCTTTTTAGTGAAGAAGAGTATGGCGGGAATCCAATGGTTGCTGGTTTTCAGGATGAGCTTGACTCTGAGGATGAAGTGACATTAAAAGATGGTGGAGAGAACAAAACACAGATTCCTCCTGCCCTTGACGTGTCAAGTGATGAAGATGCCATGGTTGTGCCTGTTGCACGGAGGAAGTCTTCTGGTGGGAATAGTGCTTCCAATAAGTCTACTGCAATTCTCAGCCAATCCTCGAACATGAAGACTCACCAAAAACTTTCTTCGGATTCTGATCTCGATTTTATGCCCAAAGCACCAGAAAAAGTTCAACAACAAGCATCTGAAGATGAAGATGATGAAGAGCTTTCTAGTTTACATATTATGCAGGATGTGGAAGACATCAGTGATGAAGACATTTCTAACAATACGTCCAGTAACTCTACATTAGGATACAAATCAAATACACAGGTGAGTAGCCATCCTCATTTTGAACTTAAGCTTCTCTTTACATTATTTCTGCTGTAATGTTCTTGTGTTTTTGATGATACTAAAATACATGCCAGTGGGTCGTATCTCTGGCACATAGTAAGTATAATTAGTAAAAATGTTTTTCTATCTTCTCAGTATCAAGATTTGGAAATCCATCATTGTTAGTAAGTCTTAGTATTAACTAAATGTAATTTATTCACACGAATAGCCTCGTCAAACTATCAGCAATCTCTGCCACCAGGTGAGAGAAAGGGAATAGTGAGAGGATGATCCTGATGAAGGCAGGTGCAAATGTAATTTGTAATATTGTGGGTTATTACTTGTTTGTTTATCGTGTACCAATGGACCAATCTTGCCCTGCATAATTTGAGGCCATATTTGTTGACTATCTTCTTAATTTCCTACTTAGGCAGTTAGGTCCCCTACAATGATAATTTCTTGTGAATTACACTGGTGTTGGCATTATCTAGTCTCTTGTAAAACTTAACTATTCCTATGCTTTGATTTTATCATTTATACTACAATGATAGCTCTATTAAATGGTTTCCCTTTCAATTTTACTAAATGAACGCTGTCTGGGACTATCCCAGAATATATTTCCTCTTTATCTAATATTAGTCCTATTCCTCTTTCATTTCTCTCACTCTACCTACATATATGATTCTGTGGCCATCAGTTGTGAAGTTCCAATTGTTTATTCATCTAGTTTCTCATACTCCCAGAATGTTGATATTTGGTTTTTTCATATCCTGTTTTACATTTTCTAACTTTCTACATGAGAAAAAAAAACAGCCTGGAGAATTTAACATTCATAGAGAGTATTGAATGCAAGAGAAGTGGGAGTGGGGGAACAGCTAGTAACCTACTTAATGGGTTTGTGTGAATTGATGGCAATAAAGACAAAGAGGGTGGTAAAGAGTGAAAAATTACTTAGAGCAACAAAAGACAGAAAGTTGTGGAGAGTCATGATCACCCATGTCCTGAAGAGACATTGCATAGAGAAGAATAATATTATGGATAAGCTTTATCATTAAATGCATTAGAACATTCTTTCACTCCTATGAATATATAGATGGAGGAATACATATATATATATAATATATATTATATATAAGAAGGATGTAGGTAGCACAATTTCTATCTGACATTTAAATGTGAACAGATATAGTGAATATAATTAATTCATAGGGCTTATTATTTAATACCAGATCCCTCTCACTTCTTTGAAAGAATCCCTCTCTGATTGACCATGTCATCTGGGGCATGCTTGGCCAATTGTGGGTTGGTGAGGATAATAGCTGGAGATTTTGAATTCATAGTTATCCTTCTAGACTGGTTGCTATCCAAGGCTATAGGACCTAGTCTGTCCTGCTATTTATCCATAGCCGAGAGAAAAAGCAATGGGTTCATACCCTGCACAATGGTATTTTCATGTAAGTGAATATAACAAACTTGACTGGAATTTGAACTTGGCTCCCTGATTTCCTTGATCTGAGTCGTTGTCCATTACTCCACTGTTTCTGCTTTATTGAAAACTAGAAAACTTTTTTTGAAAACTTATGTGTTGCGGCAAAAAGATAATGTATTAAGTGAAATTACTCTTAAATTATACTGGCTCTTAATTTATCCTTTCTTTGTTAACATTCAAGAGTTTTCAGTATCTATCTATATTTCCGAGATGAGATATTATGTACACTATTTACATTAATCGGACTATTGTTCTCATCTTTGTCACTATATTTATTACAACGTTTCGGCCGTTGTATGCTGTGGCCTTCTTCAGGCGGTTGGAATGTCGAACTGAACCCTTTATTTCACTCACTGGGGTAGACTGTTCTAGTTCCATGTCAGTTATCAGTTATCTCCTGTTAATTCCCCTCTCCAAGTTCTCCACTGCCATAGCCGGGTATTGAACTCGCACTCTTTGGGTCCTATCACTGGATCTAACTAATGCCTTTATCAACTGTGCCATGTATCCTTTTCTGGGTATTATAAACCTAATGTCTTCAGCAACCATTTTTACCAGTGCTCATATTGCAATTTTTGCTGTTGTTATCGCTTTTCTCTGGCACTCTTTATTACTGGTTCCCATATTGTATTCATTTCATTGATAACTGACATCCATTAAACATGGCTTGTGGAACTAGAACAGTCTATCCGAGTGAGCGAAATAAAGGGTTCAGTTCGACATTCCAACCACCTGAAGAAGGCAGGAGCATACAATGGCCGAAATGTTGTAATAAATATGGCGACAAAGATGAGGAAAATAGTCCAAATAATGTAAATAGTAAATAGTGTTCAAGAGTTTTGTTTCTAAAATTTTCTGGGAAATTTTTTTCATAAGGCAGGAAGGACTTTTGAGCAAATGATATTTAAGTAACCATAATTTTTTGTTTCTGCTCACCACGGGATTACTTCTAGTGTCAAGATCAATGTTATCTAGGTTCTATTTGTCATGTCAACCTACTTTAACAAAAGTAGATATGGAGCAGGTGAGCTCAAGGATTTATTTAGCAGTTTAATACATTTTATTAAGTTATCCACCAGTTCAAACTTGACATGGCCTTCAACCAATTCCTAACCAATTTAATTTATTCTAATTACCCTTTTTTTTCCAGTTTACTCTTTTAGTTTTTTTTCTAAGATTCACATCCATACAACCATACATCACTTAATTCACTAAACCCCCCCCTCAAGCCTCATTGGTGGGGTTTACATATCTCAACAGGTGATTTTCATCCTGTTATGGTCATTAAAAGTTAAATTTATCTCTTAAATCTTATGAAACGAATTTTAAATATTTTTCTGGATGAAATCTAAGGAATGTAACAAAAATTATGAGCTTTTTCTATGGAGTGAAGAATATTTTGATAAGTGATTTGATGTAAGGAAGTTGCTTGTTTGTTTTTTGTTTCCTAAAATCAATCAATGTTCATTCAACATTAAATCATCATTGTCATCATTATTATTATAACTATTAAGTTGTGTGATAAATACATATGATTCTTTACTTTTTAAAGATATCTGGTCATCAAACACTAGATTTGAAATTTGAAGACCTTAGTATTCTGGAGAAGGGACTGAATTTATCATTAGGTAAGTTCTGATTTGACAATAGCTTTATTTTATCTTTTTTTTTTTTTTTCTCTCTCTCTCTCTCTCACACATTAACAGATTTATAATTACATAATACATTGATCATATTAAGAATTAGTGTTAGCTAAACCTGAAGAAGAGGAAAATGTTTCATTGACTTTAGTCAGTTTTGTGTTAAAAAAATTTATCATTTTAATAAGATTAAAAATTTGAATGTCTTCTTCAGAGGCTGATAATTGCCACATAACTGCTGGAGACACGGACCGTGAATCAACAGCCAGTGATAAAAAGAAAAAGAAAAAGAAAGATAAGGTTTGTATCTAATATTGCAGAAGATCTGATAGATATTATATGGTATGCTATAATAGATAAAAGCATTTTGGGGGAGATTTACTGTAAGAGTTTATTTAACATAAAATTGCTATTTAGCCATATACCCTTTGATCTTCCTTTGAGTGTCTGTTGCATTCTAAAATGTTTATGGATCCTAGTTGAAGCATGGGGGTAGGTGATGACAAGGTAATTAATTTGTAGAAAGCTATACAATGATTAAAACACTCTAAGACAAAAATAAATAGCACGTTCTTTCAGTAAGATTCTTTCATATAGATAGATTTATTTGAAGATGCAAACTTTATTGCACTCATCTTGCTGATTTACCCAACTTTCCTCTCTGATGCAGAACTATTTGTGACATCTGAATGTCATTTCCTTTTTGGCAAGAAAGTTTCCAATTGAGAGCAAATAGAAGAATTCTTCATTGTTTTTATTCTTTCTTTGAATGAAGAATTTTCACTGAAGAGGATTGTCAATTTTGCTATCGGTGAAAAAGAGAAATGTGTAACAGCCAGAGAGAGAATATTTTGATAAGGACTTTATTTGGTAAAAAAATTTTTCAGTTAACTTTCTTAAAATTTCATCTTGAACAACTTGATGTATTTACTGCAGTGAATAAGAAAGTATCTTTTTCTTTTTTGTGCCTGAAAAAGATGTAGGCGATCATAGCCCTCCACATCTTCCTGTCTTTTATAACTTTTCACTCTTTACCATCCTTACTCTTTGTTCTGCCATCTATTCACACAAACTCATTAAGTAGATTATTCTCTAATTTCTGTGATATGGATTTATTGTTATTAACCTTAGGTTTAAGACTCTAGGTTCAGGATTATCTTAGAGGACAAGAGCCTAGTTGGTTTATGGATTTGGTGACATAGTAATTGTGAGTTCAATCCCTGGGCGTGGTAGTACAGACTTCAACTTGATAGAACAGTACTAAAAATGAACAAGAGAAAATCTTTTATTAGACAACCTACCCATAGATTAAATAAATGTGCCCCAGAAATTTCAGCTGTGTCTTTCCAATTGTAAGTATCTGTTTCCTCGTAATCCTTAGTTTCCGTAAAACTTCCTCATTGTTCACATGTTCTGTGAATGGTATTCTCATCATTCGTTAATTCTATCCTTCATATTTCTACCACTTCATCCCCAGCCCCTCAACTTCCGGCGTCTTCCTCTTTGGGTTGAGGTGTCCACTCGGTCCGAACTGAACTTAGGGGTAACTGGCCGTACGCTCCCTGAGTACCCGTAGATTATTTCAACTGGTCAAGTCCTGCTTGCTGCCTACGCTGTGTTAGTTTTTAGATCCAGTAAGCGGGGTGTTGTCCATACGTTCACGGTCGACTGGGGATGTGGACACGGCTGTGAGAGTTGGCGCTAGGAAGTTTAGAATGTGGCAAAATAAAACAAGAAATAATATCTGCAGAAGCCAGACAACAATGGGGAGAAATATTGACGTCTTTTATATAAGAAGATAACATCAGAACAGAGGTTACAGGGAGAATAAAAACATTTAACATAAATGAGAAAAGAAAAAAGACAAAATGCATCCAGCGAATTCCCAACAGAGAGAGGGTTTGTGTGTGATAAACGCGCATTGAATCGCCTGGGGTAGTTTATGACTAATAGTCCCGTCTCATACAGACTTCTCAGAACAGGGTTAGTCTTCTCTCTCTCCTCCAAAATTCTCCCATAAATCTCCTGACTCCTCGTGCCGATAGTCTCGTGACTCTCTCGACTACAGTCTCTTTCCCTGACTCTGCTTTATTAGCAAAATCTTGAGTTAATATGGAAAAAGAATCAGCTGATCACAATTGACCCTCGGCCTGGCACGCAGCTACTACGAGTGCCAAAAACTATTCCTTGACATGTAAACCTATTCTCCAATTATTTACCATATCTCAATCACGAGTTCTTGTTTTACCAAAATTATACTTTGGGATATCTAAACATTGATTCAACCTTTTAATCAAAACAAACACTGTTAAACAAAACCAAGTATCTCACCCATCCCCATTGTTTACTAGTGACCCAGGTTTAAAACATCGCCTCCTGGTTGGCTATTGTTCTGTGGAAAGTTAATTAAAATTTATTAATGCACAATGCAATTTTCAGGTGTAGATTGAAAATTCAAATTGCATTGTGCTACCAGTGAGAAAAAATAAAAAAAATATATATTTTATTATTAATATAGATTATAGCATTTTTATTATAAATTAAGCACTATTTTATTAGCACCAGCACTCAATATGCAATATTCTATATTCTTATATATTCGATGATTGATGTTACGTTCAGCATCCCAACTCCAAAGTTTCATAATCAGATCTTCTGGATTTTACTCCATCCACTCATCCAGACTTATCAGCAATTTCATATATATATATATATATATATATATATATATATATATATATATATATATATATATATATATAATGGACTCTCCCGTTTGACAGCTTATTGATTCAGTTATGAGAGTTTGTGCAATAATCTTAAGTGGCATTTAAGACCCACTAGTGATTTACAAAGGAGGCCACATATGGAGCAAGTGTGAGGATTGTGAAATGAGATCACTGTTAGATTGGCTGACCTTTTAGATCTTGCTCTCGCTTCTTGAAAAATGATTCAGACAAGCAGATTGAAAATTGCTGAGTCCACTAAAACACATTGATCTCCATTCTACCCACTCCAAAGCTAAGCGCTCAAGAGTGTTATGTGGTATATTGACTGCTGACAAGTTGCTTTTCAGCTTGTCTTTGTATCTTATCCATGGGTGTCCTACATTCCTGTAGCCCTGATCTGACTGGCTGTATATTAGGATCCTGTCATCTTACATTCTCAAGACATGACCAGTCCACCGTAACTGAGACTGTATGATAAAAGTCTTGATTCTTCCAATATTACACGTGTTAAACAGGTCTGCGTTAGATGTCCTATCTTGAAGCTTAACTCCACAGATTGCATGCAGACAGATTTTATGGAAAACATCTAGCTGGCATATATGGTACCTGTATGGAGTCCACGACTCTGAGACATACAAAAGGATGGCAAGTACAACAGCTCTGTAAACCCGAATTTTCATATCTAGTTGAATACCCTGCTCATTCCACAAGCGATGGTGAAGTTTGCTGAAAGCGCTGGTAGCCTTAGCAATCCAATGCATGATTTCATCATCTAAAGTTCCACTATAATTGACTTTGCTACCAAGATAGGTGAAAGACTTTACATAGTTCAGGGGTTTGTCTTCTATTAGGTTGGTGCAAAAATAATGTCGTTTTTTTTTTTAACGCTCAACTTCAAAAGAGAAAACGACATTATTTTTGCACCAACCTAATACTTTTAATGGTCCCTCTGGAAATTTGTAGACTGGTGGTTTTTGTTTCACACCACGCAATTGCTTTGGAGTAGGACAAGGTTGGTGCACAACTTCAGTTTTCTTTATGCTAAGTGTAAGAACAAATGTTTTCCATGCAGCAGAGAAACGATTTATTAGATGTTGGGCCTCCTCAAAAGATGTAGCTACAAGAGCCGCATCATCAGCAAACAACAAATCACGAATAATATGTGTGTGAAGGTGGGTCTTGGCTTTGAAACGCTGATGATTGAAGAGACCACCAGTTGTTCGAAACTGAAACTTGACGCCACTCTCTGTGTCTGCAAATGCATATTTCAGCATCACCAAGAAGAAAAGGGCAAAAAGGACAGGGGCCATGACACAACCTTGCTTGGTGCCATTTGTGACATTAAAGGATTCCGGCATCATACCATCAGACATGATATTAGCTTTCATTCCTTTTTATATTTTTATATATATATATATATATATATATATATATGAGAGAGAGTTTAAATTACTGTATTTGATGGCAGTTATCCTCTCCTTTTAATATTATGTAGTAACATGAGTACTGTTAGTTTATGGTGATTTTCCTATCATAGCTTAGATGTGACACAAGGCCAAAAATATGGGGCATCCACTGAGGATCACTCACTCCTCAGTTGCAATTGTTTCAGTGAGACAAGTTTGCTAACAATTATACCATGTCAAGGTGCCCATAGTGATAGTTTGTGGTGTCTGGGTAAATATTAGTTTACTTTATGTTTCAACTCTACATATAAAACCCAGGAGTTTTTTTCTGCCCATTTTAGGGATAAAAAAAAAAAGATGGGTTTCCTATATGTCATCAAATATTGTAGAGTCATAGATTATGTTGTTTATTATTTGATGATTGTAGCAAAATTAGAGAATGAAATGAGGCTATGATCATTGCATCTCTTCGCTGCGGAAGGTGCAGCCTTGTCATGCACTGTAGTGAATGTTCATTGTTACCAATATTTTCTTTTGATGCATGTGGTCTGAATTATTTTTTCTTTTCTCACTGGTTTTTCTTTTGACACCTCACACTTACAGGATGAAGAGAAGTCAAGCAAGAAGCATAAAAAGAAGAAAGACAAAAGCAGTGATTCAAAGGACGTCAAATCCTCCAAGAAGAAAAATGGCAGTAAGAAAAGCAAAGAAGAAAAAAAAGAGATTGATGAACTGGAAGCATTTCTGGTTGGAGACAGCAAACAGATGCTGATGCCATCCTCAATGGCAGTTCCTAGTGGAGGAGGTTATGAGTCTCTGTGACAGCAAGGATGTGGCAGCAGAGATCTGGAAAGAGGATGAAACTGCAAAAGAGAGAGAGAGAGAAGTGGTGAAATAGCTATTTAAAACAAAATATCGACTTTATTTCTAGATCTTTCTTAATGCTGCCATTGGCTGATCCTACTTGAAAGAAAGTCACTTGGTTGATGCATCACAGTAAGAAGAAGGTAGGCTTGTAATATTATCAAATTTGTGTACACCAGGATATTTCCCGATGATCACTTTGCCAAGATTGAAAAAAAGCAAAAGGGTGAACCTTCCACCTGTTTAAATACCAAAATTAAAACAAAGAGGAAGAAAAGACGATACAAGCCAGAAATTTTACAGGTGTGATAATTGTCTCTGAGTGTAAATGTCTATATGTTTGTGTGTGTGTGACTAGATGAACGAGTGTGTGTATGTGTATGCTGGTATGTCAGGTTTAAGTGTAGCCGAACATTACTGTTGTCGGCATCATTGTGAAAAGTTGCTAAGTTCTGTTTGTTGCCTTTGTTTCTGTTGAGTTGCATACATTTTTCTATCCCAGAATTGGAATTGAAAAGGAAAAAAAAAAATAAGGAAAACTAAAAGAATCTATGCCAAATTAAAACGTCTGTACATCTTTTACCATTTCTTGTTGTGTTAATTTTTTAATTTTTTTTGTTTTTATTAATAAATTCCATCCTTGACATTTTACGTTTTGAAAGAAATCATTTCATGCAAGAAAAAAAAAAATTGTTTGACAAATTTTTACTGTTGTGTCATTCTTTGTTAATCTTGTGTAACAATGAAAGTTGCTTTCCTTGCCAGATTAAACATCCACATGTCACTTGTATTTTAAAAACCTAAGCAAAGTCTCTGGCTCATTGATAAAGAATCTGGCAGGATATGCAAATTTTGATCTAACCAATCGTAAGCATCTTGGGTGTCTATATAAACTGGTGAATTTGAGTGCCAGCAGTGGATAGTCCAACTGCTTGTATATGTTGACAACCATTGGTAACTTTGCATAAGTTCTTCAACTTGAATCTTGATATACTAAGGTTAATATTTACATGTAATCTGCATCTAAAATTATATTTCATACTAGTTGAGGTATTCATCTATATCAGGTGTGAAGACTTGGATCTAAGTTGATTATAATGACAGATTATTCGTTCATTATTCATAATCATGTGCAGTAATTTCTAAAAAGAAAAATTGATTTCATTTATTCCTGGTAAGTTTCCAATTCTGAAAAGTAGAAAATATATTTTTGGGAAAAAAAATTGTTTTGTGATGTTGCTTTTCCAAAGCATGAAAATATTTTTTTTTGTCTGAACATCAAGAATAAAAGAAATTATAAGTTTTTACCAAATAGTTATAAACGGTAATTGTTACTAAGATATTTCTGCATAATAGAAAAATATGTTAGATATGGCCTTTCACCAACCTTTTCTTATGATGAATGAGAAATATTTTACATTAAAATTTCTCCTGTGTCTAGTAAATATATATTGGATGACTTGCAGTTGTAAATATATATTGTGACAAAGTTAACCTTGGCTTTGGACATAATCCTGCTTTACCAAATGAAAATGAGCTTCTCATCCTGCATTGGAACCAATGACAAAATTGTCTTCTAAAATTGTGAAGATTAACATACAACCAATGAACCATGTGACATTAATAAGGTGGTGATAAATTGGGTGGGTGATGCTTTAAAAAATATAAACTGGAAAACACTTTTTTTGATATACTGAAAGTATACTGTTAAGAGGAGAGTGGAGGGAGAGGATATTTGTTTCTTTTCTCTCTCACATGTGGGTGGGGTTTGAGATGCCAACAACAGCTCACATAAGCACCATCAGTTTTTGGTTAAGTTGAGGTTAAGTGATTGTATTTTCTTAAGTGTCCAACTGACTCCATGCAGAAGAATAGAGTATATTTTAATTACTGGTGATGGCAAGATAAACAGAGGCTAACAGCAAGTCTCTAGCAAAAATTTGATTAGTTGATAGGACTTGGAAAACAGGAATGGCACTGTAGTTATATTTTTCTTTCGTCTGCCTAAGACATGATAAAATTTATTAAGAGGAATTGTTGCTTTTTGTCATTTGTTGACCAAAAACCTGGTGTGGAGAAGTAACAGGTAACGAATCCCAGATGCAGCCGACCACACAAGGACATAAGAATTCCCCACTGATGGAAATTTGGGATGAGAATTGAACTTAGCACTTTGGGCTAGACCAGGGTACAGGTTTGGTCAGAAGACAAGGAGAGAGGTAAAGGCCCAGGTAGAATTTCAAGGAAGACAGAGGAATTGCCTGCACCCTTCAGGCGGTGATGGTGAGAGGCACCCATGCAATATGGAAGGAGTTGGATGGATCGATATCGAAGTCATAGATAACAATTATTGGTCAGACAGTGAAAGAGAATTGTCTAGAGAAAATTACAGTTGACAAAAGAACTTGCATCAGTAATTTTTTGAACACTTAGATTTAAAATTCTTCTCCTAGAACCCAAGGCAAGAAATTTTAATGAGGGAAGGAATTTTAGTTACATGTATAAGGCAAGTGGAATGGTAATTGAGAATAGAGAAAAAATTGAAGAAACCTGAAATCAAAATTGAAGCATGAGAGTTTGAACTGAGAGGATTTTTAATTCATACTAAAAATAGATGTACCATTTCCTCAACAATTTTGGTGAAAGACAAATTACTGAACTTGAACAAAACAAAAACATGACAAAATCTCGCGGCAAAATTTTAATGTTTATTGAGAAATTTTTTCCTATTTAAATAATATCTCTTTTGACAGATATGTTATATATCATTTTTTCCTATTTAAATAATATCTCTTTTGACAGATATGTTATATATCATTGTTCTAATGAACTAAGTTTTGCTGAGGATAGACAACAGCAACAACATTATAATGATAAACTTAAAAGGATTACAAATTCCAAACTAGTAAAAACAAACACCCAAAAGAAAATTTGTCTGGTGATGAGATAATTCATATTTCAGTTATTAAATTTTGACTACTATTTAATTGTTTTTTTAGTTGCTTTTTAACAAAAATTTAGTCAGGTCATTACTGAGTAGACATAATTGACAAGGAAATATAGCCTATATTCTCACAGCTTTGTTTTAAGTGTTGCTGTCAGTGTACTCAACTGAAAGATGGAAAGAGAATTTGAATCTTGAGGGTTTATCTGTGACTTTCCTCACTGCTAGAGATTGATAAAACTAAGTAAAACTGTTAAAAAGATGCAAGTAAATACTCGTCAAAAGTATTAATAATTGATGACAACACTTTAAGAAAAATAATGATTATCTTTTAATGTTACGTTTTTATAGAATTCAGAAAGAATAAATTGCTTTCAAATATAACAACAGAAAACCTTCTACTGCAGGAGTAAATTCTTTGTTTTATTTCTTACGAAAAAACAAGATTTCATTTTTACATTATTTATTTATTTATATATATATAATTTATTGATATTTATTTAGTATGGCAGAAGGCCAAAATATATCAGGCAGGGATGATTGTGTTGTATCAGTTTTCAAGTGTTATGTGAACCTTGAACTGGGAATTATTTCTGATATTGATCTGATTGGGACGAGTTATCTCCCCTTATTCCATGAATCCAAACTAAAAAAACCACTGAAATTTGAATTTTCGAGAAGTTTAATTCAAATTTTAATAGATGATTGAAAAATCATAAGACTAATCCAAAAAAATTTCTTTATATGGTTAAATTTGGATCCAACACATTCAAGTAAATGCAATTAATAGAGGGACTTTTTTTTTATTCTCCATGGAAATTGGTTTCATCTGAATTTTTTCTTTCCAGGTTCATCTGCAAGTATTATATTGATCTATAATTGAAAACCAGGTACTACTAAATTTAGAATTGACTTCTCATTAGTAGTGCAAGTTAGTTCAACTTATTTTAAAAGTAGTAGAAAAAACCGAAGCAGTGAAATTCAAAATACATTAACAGTGGGTGTTCAAAAGTAGCCTAATCTGGTAATTCTAATAAGTTTTTAATGTGGAGACTCCTCAAAGGAACTGAAAATAAACATGGTGGTCTTTTGAGATTTCAAGGGCTGAGGTAAACTAAAGGGTTCTGGTCTCATCGGTAAGAAGAAATCTAATTGGTAAATTAAATTAGTAAATTAAATTTTAATTCCAACAATTTTTTTTTTTTTTTTAAGTAAGGGAGGTAACTGGTTACTATTTTTTTATTTATTTATTTTTTTTGGCAGTTGGGAATATGCAATTCAATAGGTTACAACTGCATAATTGATTTTAGCAAAAGAAAAATGTTTGATATGACATGATTATCTTATAAAAGTTAACATGTCATAAAATAACACAGCTAATATGAGTCAGATTTTATACCTAAAATCATTTTTTTTTCACGATCTGCTTTCAGTATATATATTTTTACAGATTGTTATATGAGATGCCAGTTTATAAAATGTGCATATACCAGAGTGCGATCGTAAACGAGTTCATCTGATGATTATATGATTGGTTTGCAAGTTAGATTCTCACTGGGTGTTGGACTACTAGGATTTAACTTGCCCTTTTGAAAATAAAAAGTATTGTATGTGAATTCTGAATAAAAGTATGACTTTTTATTTCTTGAAATAAACCTACAGATTTTACCCTATGTTTTCTTAAGGCCACATGTTACATTGTTTATAAGCTTATGTTGCATCTAATTAGAGAGAAAGGACTTTTATGAATTCACTCTCCTCACAAAAAATGTTTTAAAAAATAGATGGACATTGGAAATTAACTGGAGATTAACTTTTGATGCAGGAAAACAATTTAATACTTTTCTGGCAGCCATATTGAATCATATTACAATTTCTGTTAATAAGGAGAAACCTTGAAGTTGCAATGGTTTTAGTACCACAAGTTAATGTTGGGGTACAGGTAAAAGCAAGCCTTTCATAATTTGATTTTCAAGACAGACAAACTCTTTTCCATTAGAGTAATACATTCTTCCTGCCGCCATTTTCTTGTTTTGGCATTATGAACTTATAAAATATCAATATTCTAATATAATAAAAACTTATAACAATCAATATGGCAGTCATATTTATACAAAAATCCTATCGAAGTGTTTTTTTTTTTTTTTTTTTTTTTTTGTTACTCCCTTTAAAAGTTCAGTAAAGCATACACAGATAGCATTGAAACTGGGGCTAAAAATGAAGTGAATATTAAACAAGCTTCGGACGTATGTGTCATTTCTTCGTCATGGTGGATGTTGTCATAGTCGTTGTGTACAGGGTGTATTTCACTTTGATTGTGTTCATGGTTGAAATCATTAAAGTTATGGCTATGGCGTTCTTTGTTCTTTCTAACATCCACAGGCATGTCGTCCATCATTTCATTGCTTTCTCTTGCTTCAGCAACACAAATATCATAGAGTTCTTCTTCAGTACAAGTGCTTTTTGCTAATGCACAGTTGTAGTCAGTGAGTAAATGCTTTCCATCCTTGCTGCAATGGCTGTCCCACACTTGAATACTACACTTCAAATAATTCTGGTAATCTCTGTGGAAACAAAACAATAAACATAATCATTAATCCTGTTTATAAAGCTTGCTTTAGTTTGTAGTGTTTGTGAAGAAAATTTTAAAAAATCGATATAAATTAAGATTAGCAAAAACAAGCAAAATTATACAGATTCAGATAATTGCAATCATGCTGATACCGTTTCCCTCAGCCGATAGCAAGAAGAGATTTATGGCGAATTAACATTTAACCATTCGGATCTCTTATTTTTTTGTCAGTAATGCTTGCATTTAAACCTGGCCACTGACAAAACCTTTCTTCCTCATTTCAAATGCATAACATGTAGAATTAATATTGAAACCTATTAAACAAGTATGTAGTTAGAATTAATATAATTCAGTGTTTAATCAAATATTTCCCTCTACAATTGAAAATATTTGTACAAAAAAAAATTATAATTAAATGGTGGAGTAGCGGTAAAGTCAGTGGGCCGAAAGAATGAAACCGAAATGGTAAGAAAATCCGAAACTTGGCATACGTATACTGGCTTCAGCTGCAGTCAGTTCTAAAATACAATCATGTTTTTTATCCCTTCTCCCACCCTGTTTTTATTGCTGTTTGTTTCTCTCTCTCCTAGCCGCTGATTGCGAGTTTCCTATCGGATACCGATTCATTCGTCCTTTCTTTCTCCGTCTCCGAGCCTTTACTTGCCAGTCTCTTCTCTCTTTGCATGCAATGTCAATGAAACCGGTGGATACTGCTATTAGGCTTTATTTTGACTTCCTCTTCAGTCTTTCTCCCCCTCCTCAAAAGTGGAACAACCAAAATAAATTGCTCTTCGCCACAATGGACGGCCAGCAGTATCTGTTTCTCAGGTGTTAGAACAGATTCCGGCTTGAAGTAGGGAAGACTTCAGTTGGTCTATGAATTTGCGTTTTGATGCTCCGCGATGTCGTTTGCCGTTGACGAGCTCGCTGTAAAGCATGACCCGCGGGAGTCTTGAAGGAGCCTGTCCTGACCACCTGAGGTGATGCTTTGAGGAATGGTGTCTTTAATGCTCGAAACTTCTGAGCAATTGGAGACTTCGTTGTTAGTGTATCGATCCTGCCATTTGATGTTGAGGATCTGCCGGAGTTTGGCTCGTTGGAATCGTTCAAGGTTTTTCGATACAAAGTCTATGTCTTGCAAGCGTAGAGCAAGGTGGAGATGACAACGGCGCGGGACACTATGAATGTTGTTCAGAGGGAGAGTCCGTGGTTGTTGAATACGCGGTTGCTGAGTCTTTCGAAGGCCCAATGAGCGGATTTAATGCGGTAGTTAATGTCTCTTTCACATATTCCGGATTGTGAGAGAATGCTGCCGTGGTATTAAAAGTCGTTGACAGCTTCCACAAGCAAGTCCCCTATGTTAATGTTAATTTCGTCGAGGAAAAGGCTGCGCAAGTATGTTCGTTTTGTCTGTATTGACTTTTATCTCAAAGTGATAGTCGGCTTCGGAGACGAGAGTCGAACAGCGCCGGAGGTCGACAACGGAGAAGAGAGAGGTGGCATTGTGTTCTGCATACTGGAGCTCCATGATGCTGCTTTTCGATGTTCGAGTTTTGGATCTCAGGCACGCGATGTTGAAGAGTCCGTTGTCCAGTCGATAGCGGACGTCAACACCAGGAGAGTCGCGTAGGATCTCACTGAGCATCGTCGCCAGATCGATGAGGAACAGAGTTGGAGCCATAACGCAGCTTTGTTTCAGGTCTCCGGGGATAGGAATTGGTTCGGAGAGTGCATTCTGCGTGCAGACACGTCCTACCATGCCGTCATGGAGCGCGATGATGAGGTCGGCGAAGTGATCGGGGCAACCAAAGAGATTGAGTACAGAGGTCCCAAAAGATGGAGAAGAATGGATTTCACTGTTCACGGGCTTTTTTCCTGGAGTTGCCATGTCACCAACGAAAACCGCGGATTCTGAGATGACTTCTTCCGCAACATCCAACAAACGACCAAGAAAAATTCTGGCGACAACCTTGCACACTGACCGGTCTCTTGAAGATGGAAATGATATTTGCGTTTTCGAAGTCATCCGGAACAGTCTTTGTGTCCCACATTCGCAGCATCAGGTAGAAGAGCTTGGTACTCAAACCATATCCGCCATGTGGGATGATGTTTGGACCAGGAGCTTTTCCAATTGCATTCGTTTGACAGCTTTCATGAATTCCTGAAATGATGGCGGAAGGGCCATCGTTTGGCAGGTCGCTGCGGAGTGTTTCTCAAGCGGTCTTCTTGAGTTTGAGAATGGTTGTTAAAAAGAAGATTGAAATGTTCTCTCCAATGTTACATGATCTCTTCTGTGGTGACAGTCTGGCCGTCAGAAGTTTTCAAGTCACCAGTAGATGACATGAGAGGACCGAAAATATCCTTGCTCCCTTCATAAAAGGGACGCGTATTTTCTTGGTCTGCGAAGCCCTGGAGATCAGCGGTCTTCGCTTGCCATCAGGAGTTCCGAATCTTTCTGAGGTGCCTTTGGTACATCTGCGTTTCTTGTTCGAGGCATTTCTTGGATTTCGAAAGCGCTACACGCTACTCTTGTTGACCAGATATTCAATCTCTTTACTCTTTTCACCGAACTAGTCTTGGTTCTGGCGCTTTGAGTAGCCAATCACATCGTCTACAGCCGATGTTATAGCGTCACGTGGGGTATTCATTCGAGGAAGGATTCCCATTTTGTCTTTCCCTCAGATTTGATCAACTACTTTTGGAAGGTTTGGGATGTTCCTGGGTCTTTCAGTTTGCGACAGTCGCATCTCGGTTTCCGCTTTTGAGTTTTAGGATGCCGAGGAGGTGAACGAATGGAAAAGTTGAGAGATCACAAGCCGGTGATCGATCCAGCGATCATCAACTGGTGATCCTAATATCTTTCTTGTTTCGGATCCTGATCAACACGTAATCCAGAATATACCAGGGTTTTTTGTGTTGGGTTGGAAGACGGAATAGGGTGTTCGTAATGGTCAGGTCGTTTTCTGCACAGCGTCCAAGGTGTATTAGATCGTTGGCGTTGCACTCTGATGATTTTTGCGAAAAGATATGAAACCAGATATTAGGTAATAAGTGCTGTTGGAACAATCTCTTGAAATTTACTAGGACATCTGGTTTGTTTTACAAAGAGGGTTTTTGTGTAGACTTTTTCGGGCCGTTATCCTTATAAGAACGCGCACACGCCACTTTAACCAGTTCGAGCGACCTCACTGCCAACCGTTTCTGTCGAAATTCTGCCGGCATTTTAACAATTACGTATTTTTGCTACCTCAAGAGAAGAAAAGATTTTACTGAAGTCGAACCGCATGAGTGTGATTGATACAACTTTTATATTTTCTCATCATTGATAAATTGTTGATAGCATAGCTTGCTGTGCACAATTATTCCTCATACCTACAGATATGTGAGTTATTTTCAGTTTCGAATCTTCAGTTCGATTAATGTCGATTACTTTATTTCTCAATAAAGTCTTTTTGCTTTGCGGGATCGATTCTTTTAGAAATAATCAACAGCAACCAATATTCTAACCTCGCTTTATTTCAGTTGATGAGATTTTGTTTTATTAGTAATGAAACAACGAAGTGTGTGCGATGTAGCTGAGATTGTAAAGTCTAGGGTTCAATCCCAGGTAAAACTCGAATTACGTATAATTTTAAAAGCAAGCAGGCAGTCTTTCCCCAGTTTAAAATTTAATGCAACAAAGTTTTCCTAAGAAAATAAACTAAGAAAATAAACAATTACTGATAAAAGAAAACTTACTTGCATATTTTTTGCCTGTAGTTTACGAATTCTGCTTCTGTGACCTCCATGATCTGGTCGGGTGGATAATTCCTGCGACAAATATCTTTTTCATGTTTCACTTCGCATTCTATCTTTCCTTTATAATCTATGGAAATAAATTTTTGAAAATTTATTTAGCATTATTATCAAGATCATTATCTTTCATAATCGTTCTCATTAACAACTTAATCAACGTTATATAACGACGTGTGTTGAAATCACAGCCTCTTTTTAGAGACAACCGGAAGTCGTTGCTTTAGTGTCCTAAATCAAACTAGGATCAAACTTATCTGTTACAACTCTTGCCACATCCGACTCCAATCTAACGAATCACTGTCCCCCAAAGTTACAATATCGTTAAACCGCCCACATACATTACAATACTGCATAGAATATTATTTATACAATTAGAAAAAAAAATCAAGTATCAATTCTAGACTAATAATAATAAAAGAATCTCTTTTCTGGAGACTATCCATTCTTATTTAAGGAATGTACATATTAAGTAAACTGTCCTTCCTCCATTGCAAACGGTGTCGTGCGCTTCATAGGGGCGGTGGAAGAGGATGGCAGGTGAGGTGGAATCACTGAAAGACAATCAAAGATTTAGAAACAGTTTCAAAAAATTCATATGCCAAAAATAAGTGATTTCAAAATATTATTATGAATTACTTGTAATTGCATGCACGAATCCCAATATAGTGATTTTACAAGCGCTGCTTAGATGTGGTACAGGGCTGGAAGTATGGCGCACCCAGTGAGGATCGAACTCACTACTCAGTCGTAATATGCTCTAGCGAGACAAGCTTGCTAACCATTACACCAAGCCGAGGTGCCCACACGAGTCCCAATATAACCCTACACACAAGCCACTGGGTCGCATACCACTAGCGTTTACCACTGTCGGACCGCCGGCATGTTCGTCTCTGCAATGTTACCACTGGCTGACCGCTAGAGGCCCATCGGTGGATGCCACCAGAGGACCGCTGACGTTGCCACCGGCGGCTCGCCAACGGGACACAGGCGGCATGCATGTAGGGAAATAGTTATAAATAATTGTTGACCGATTTGGTGATTGTGATATTTTTGCCTTATATGAAATATTAAAAATATAGTAACTAGGTTCCGCAAATTGGAGCCTTTAACCTTCTCTCTGTTATTTTTATTATTAAATGAACTTTTTATTAAATAAAATTTGTTGAAGTGCGAGCAAATTTTAATTCCAAAAATGCGGCCCAAAGAAAAAAAAGTTTGGGAACCACTGCTCTATTACAATAAGTATCCACCAAGAATGGCCGGTTATGTGACATCTAATGACCAGTCAGCGAAGACGGATAGAGATACAATCTTTTGGAAGATACCCCTAAGACACGATGTGTCCCAGGATTCATGAGTAGAGACAGCCTCTCTGACTTAGCGCGTCGGACTTGTAAGCCTTTATAACATCCATTATCTTAGTTTTTCGGGTTCAGAGAGAAGGCATGTAATACATCACTACACTTTTTCTTTTTAGAAAATAATAATCTTCATTTACGTTCTTCTGACTTTTTACGAGCCATCTTTATTTTATATTATGAATGTCTGAGCTAATAGTTTTAGCTGACTGACCACTACCAATTTCATTTCGTATTTAACTCTTTTCGGTGAAGAGGGTATAAATTCAAAGGCTTTTGATTTTACTTAAACCGACAGCGATTGGTTGAAAATATATCTCGTGACCTGTTCTCAACTACGTCCGCAATTTTTTAACCTTATTTTATATTTGGCAGCTTTTTCGTAACTCCTGCTATTTTGATATATATATATGTGTGCGTGTGTGTGTGTGTGTGTGTGTGTGTGTGTGTGTGAGTGTGTGAGGGAGAGAGAGAGATAAATAGACTTAGATAGATATTAAGTATACTTACTTGAAATATTTGTACAGATAACATCCAGGCGGTTGAGAATAGTGTCCAAGTTGAAGCCATACCAGAGAACGTTTCTCTGTTCTATTGAACACGTAGACATTTTTTCTTTTAAACAACTGACAAAATCTTTGCGCAATCTGTAAGTAAAACAATTGTCAAGGACTTTATATAA